CATCTTCGATGGCCCCAGCGGAACCTGTAGGAGTTCCGCGCCCGAAAGTGCCGCCTTCAAGGGCAGCGCGGCCTCCGGAACCTTTAGTGCCTCCTAGGGCAGCTATGCGTCCACCTGAGCCATTGGTGCCTCCGAAGATGGCCGTAGGCCCGCCTGCTCCCCCGAAGGTCCCACCTCCAACGGCGACAAGGGATGGAGCTAGAACGAAAGCTGCAGCACCAAACCCGGTAGTTCCAGAGTACAGTCACTTGGATGATTGTTATTTCTTCTTGTGTCAGTCTAATTTTCCTCTTTTAGGAAGATAGACAGATACACAGACAAATCGATGGTTATTTACACGCACACACACACAGATATATATATATATATATTATACTTGTATATTTGTATATATATAGACACATAGACACTTTTTGTGGATGTTTGGTTGGACGTTGTTTCTTTGCTGTCCAGCGGTGTGTCCGCTGTTATAGGTGTATATATATATAGATTACTCAGATAGATCGTTATCTGGGACCATTCATTGAAATTCCAGGCAGCGATGCCGCTACCGGTGTCTACAACTTCTTGCCTGGAGAAAGTTCAAGACAGAGGCAGTGGCAGCTTTGGGGCGTGTGGCGCCAAAGAGGAGGACAAAGGCAACGGGCGGGTGAGCGTTTTTCGTCTCATGCTTGGCACAACCATGGGTAAAAAAAACGGCTGGGGCAGCTGTTCAAGGAAGCGGTGTCTTTAGCGTGAGGTGCAAACCTCTAGCGTGTCTTGAATGGAGCGGTGTGACCGCTTTGTTTTTTGTTGGGAGCGGTGTGGCCGCTATACATACATATATATATAATAATGATAATAATTAATAATAATAATAAAAATAATAATTATAATAAAAATAAAAATAAAAAAATAATAATGATATATAAAAATATACGCCAGTACCAATGCGTTGTTTCTTTTTGTTTGTGTTAGAACCAATCAACCTTGTATCTATATAGGTATTTTGTCTGTGAAAGGATTAGGCACTGGTCGACATGGCAGATCGCCGTAAGCAACAAAATTTTCAGGCCATTCCTCAGTATTTGACAGAGGAAATGTGGTCCAGCTTCTCCCGACAAAGCCAGGAAAAGAGCCGATCCATGCTTCTCCAACACAGTTGGAATTTAGGAACGAGATGTCCATCCGAAGGTTCGTTTGCCATCATCTACAACATCCTTCACCTGACGTCTTCTCCAGCAAGGACGAGCGATCTCACCCTTTGGCCAGTATCAAGGAATTCAGCAGGTAAAGAAGGAGTGGAAAAACTACAAAGTGGCAAAGCGACATGTGGACTTCTGGTATGCGGAGTACTTGGAGGTGCTTCCACAGGACGTGCAGCATCTTCCAGCGGAATATTATTTGATTGCGTTTCAGCATGACCTTCCTGTTCTTCCGCGCTCCTCATCTCAACAGTATCCTTTGGTTTAGATGCTCACCAAAATTTTTAGTGAGACTTGTTATGTACTGACTTCTGAACTATGTATGTTTATCATGTTCATCAAAATATCTTCAAGGCTTGCCGATGGACGATCTCATGCATGATGGCCGTTGGAGCAACTCCAATGCGTTGGCCGAAAGATCAAGCTAGTGAGCCTGAATCTAGCAGCAAGGTATCCGATGGCATGAACCACCTGATGGAACTTGCCTTTCGGATGGGCCAGACTTCTGGCTGCCGTTCAGTTGATTCGAGGACACCTTCAACTTCCTCGGCTGCGAGTGCCAGGCCGTCCTTTCCTTTACTCGCCCTTGAGGATGATCCTAACAGGAGACACCCACAGGACTGTCAACTTGATGCCGTTTGCAACCTATCATGAAGCGGTGTGACCGCTATACACCTCAGTATGCGTGAATAGATTAATTGGTGCTGGTTTGGCTAACCCGGATTTCTTTATACGTCATTGAATGTGTAACATGTCATTTGTATATCTAAGAATATTCTAATGCATTATATATATATATGTAGAAAGAGATAGAGAGGGAGAGAGAAAGAGCAGCGGTTCAACCGCTTAAACTTGCTGGTGAATTGCATGGCCTGAAAAGATTTCCATAGAAGAGTTTGGTTTTGAATCTCGGTAGAACGCTTATTTTACAGGAGCCTCAGACACAGTCTGGCATGTTGGTTGCGACGACGCAGCCGGCAGCAGTTGAGCCTGAGGAGTTGCCTCCTGCCGGCGAGGACCGTGTGGATGCTGAGAACCTAGAGAACACCGTCCCTGTGCCTTTGGATGAAGGATTGCACAGGTTGCAGGAAGCTTTGGACCAGCGTGACAGCAAGAAGCAAAAGCCTGCCGGAACGGTTGGCGCAACACCCAAAGTGAAAGCTTCTCCAAAAGGAAAGGCTAAGGCAAAGGCTGCATCGAAGAAAGCAGCAGCTGCACCCAAGAGCAGTAGCAAGCCATCGAAACGATGCACGAAGAAAGGCACAGCCAAAAGCAAGGTTTCCAAGCCGGGCAAGGTCAAGAGACCACAGCCCAAGGAACCCAAGATGACCCGAGAATGCGTTTACAGCCGGGCCTACCACCAAGCTGCCAGCAACTTGTTTAAACCACTTGCTTAAGAGGAATGCGTTCCCAGTTTCCCCCTTTCGGCTGTCAGTGTCTCGTTTGTCTTTTCTTTGAACTACTCTGAGGCAAGTACAGAAAGCAGGGCATGACCGAGACTCAGGTCAAAGAGAAGTCGAAGGCAGCGGGGCAGCGGGCCTTGAAGCAAGTGTTTCCTGAGTAGGACCTTGGCGTTTGTTTAATTTGACCCTGGTTACGGTAACAACTTTAAAAAAGTTGTGATAATTTGATGCTGTAAGTGCTGCACACTTACGAATACAAGCCCGACATCTCTCAAAGATAAAGGCCGTAAGTATTGCTTCCCAGCGCCTGCTTTTTTAAAATGCAATTTGCTAGGTGCTTTGAGATATGAAGCGGTGTGTCCGCTTTTTGAACAATGCACCAAGACCGATGATCGCAGGGATCAGTGACAAAGCGGTATCACCGCTTGAAGTATCAGGCAGGCATGATTCAGCCTCGTTGTAGGGGAACTGCAAGAGAAAGAAGATGCCGGTAGGCGTCTTCAGCTCAAATCTGGGGTGCAAATGCAAACAAAGCCGCCTTGCGGCTTGAAGTTTGAATGCACAAATATCTCTTGGTCCACTATGGAGGGGCTCCGCTCCGCAGGCGATTGGGAACGATGGTCTCGATCCAAACTTTGGCGTGAGCTCGTTAGAGGCCAGGAGCAGCGACATCGCCGCAGCGATTTGGTTTTGTTTTTGGGCACTGGCTGGACAAGTTTCAAGTACTCCTGGGTGCATCATGACAATTTGGATGCGGTTCCCACTTGGCGAATGCAACTTGCCTTGTTTTGGGGTTTGTAGTGTTCAGCTTATTTTTGTTTACAGCCTGTGCCGCAGACCAGGTATTTAGCGAACGACGGCCAGGCCATAGTGGTGAGACCAACCGGAGATCCTGCAGGAACCCGGGTCTATGAGATGAAGTGGGACTCTGTGAACAAAAGCATCAAGGTCTACAACCCGTTGGATGGATCCTTCATCACAGACTTGCCAGGTCGATGGACAGGACGCAAGGAGATCGGTCAGGCGGTCCGGAGATGTGTCAAATCTTTCTTGGAGATAGAGAGAGAGAGAGAGGGTGATGTAAATTAACCAGCAAGTAGGTTTGAAAGATTGTGTATTTGGGTGTCCTCTAGAAGGCTTGCTGTCAAGCGGTGTGTCCACTATACAGTCATTGGTTTGATGTAGCGGGGTGTCCGCTAGTAGGTTTGGTCGCGGTGTGTCCGCTATATTTGTTTTTTCAAATATCTTCCTTGTAACAGGCGGTGGATGCTTTTATCGAGAAAGCCGACCAGACGACTGGGGATCTCAATTTGATTCTTGGAAGCTGCCAGATCAAAATCTTGATGAACGATGTGACCGTCAACTATGGAAATCATAAGAAGTGCCTCGACGATTTCGAAAATGATCCTGAAAGACTTCGTGAAGCTGGGCGACGTCAGGCTGAAGCTCACCATGCACAGCTTGTCCGAGATCAGTTTTTTCCTGAACCGCAAGCTGCACAAGAGCAACCCCCCAGGAGTGTCGCACGTGCTGCGCGCAAGAAGCCGGCTGCGAAGGGTGTCTTGAAGAAGCCCGGTAAGAAGTGATAGCCACCAGGCGAGCTGTGGAAAAGGTTTTGCAGTGCAGCAGCTTCAGTCTCGGTTGCAGCGGTTTGCCCGCTCACCTTTTGACTTTTTGGCGGTTTGTCCGCTTAGAAATATCATGGCAGTGGTCTCAGTTTCGCTTGCAGCGGTCTGCTTGTGACTGTCTGGCGGTGTGTCCGCTTAGATATATTATTTGGTTCTATCCGAACTTTTCAAACACTCTCTTTCAATATTCTCCAGATAACATGTTGCTACTTGGTAGGTGGACTTCAGATACTTGACTGATAGCACATAGACAGCACATAGAAAGCACATAGATAGCACGGTCATGAAAACTATACCCCAGCCACCAAAAGCCATCGATAGCAGATGGCAATAGATAGCACGGTCATGAAAACTATACCCCAGCCATCAATAGCCATCGATAGCAATTGATAGCACGGATCATATGCTATCTATTGCTATCGATGGCTTTTGGTGGCCGGGGTATAGTTTTCATGACCGTGCTATCTATTGCTATCGTTTGCTATCGATGGCTATTAATGGTTGGGGTATAGTTTTCATGACCGTGCTATCTATAGACTATCTATGCTATCTATGTGCTATCTATGTGCTATCTATGTGCTATCTATGTGCTTTCTATGTGCTGTCTATGTGCTATCTATATGCTTTCTATACAAGTTTTGCAGAATATTTGTAGAATATCGATCCAATATTTTCCGAATCTTTCACAGAAGAAGATTCCGATTGCTCCATTTCTGCGGCGTTCGGTGGACATAAATCTAATCTCTACAGTGCGTCGGCTCAACTCCAAAGCTTCGTGACTGGTCATGGCATCGCTTGCAGAGACCCAGCCAACAGAGACACAGGAACAGGTCAATGCCACTGAGAGTTCCTGTGTCAAGTGCGGCTTGGCCACGACCCTGAATGATGGGGCCGTGCAGCGAGGACATGGCCTGCAATGCCGTTCCTGCAACAATGTGTACCAGATTCTTTATCGACATCTCGGTGGGCTTCCCCCTTCGTTCCAGGGTATGTCCACGGAGGAGCAGGGGAACTTCTTCAAGTCTACTGGGAAGAATGTCGCCACCACGCCAAAGAATGGCCGCTGGAGCTTGGTGAAAAAGAATTTGGTCACTTCGATGGTCAGTTTCAAACGGCAGCAGACCACGACATCGCTCACCAAGGACTTCTTTCCTTTATCCGTGTGGAAGGTCAAGGGATTTGACACGAAGGAGATCGAAGCAAAAGGAGAACGAAGAGACGACGATGTGTCTTGGACGATTGTTTTTCGTCATTGAAAATCGCACCCACATGTAAATAAAACAGTAAATAAACAAATAGCACAGGATAAAAAAATAAAGATAAATAACTGTGTATATATATATATATGTGTCTGTGCCTGTGTCTGTGTGTGTGTTGTGATAGCGGTGTGTCCGCTTGCTGTTAGCGGTGTGTCCGCTTGTTGTTAGCAGTGCGTCCGCTTTCCTGAGCGGTTTCTCCGCTATGTTCGTTGCAAACTTGTACGGTGGCTGTGATTGAGTGTATGTCACTGTATGTCACAAGTTGATTTGTTTCCACGTGATATATTTCCTCGGTCTCTGTGCTCTCAGGTTTTTGGAGAGACTTGGTCGGCGCCTTTGTTATCCATTAAGATCGATGACATTGTTGGCTCGGTTGAAAAGGAGTTAGCCGAAAGGGAGCTGGCTTTGAAGCACGCGAAGGGCAAAAAGCGCGGCAAGGCTTCTTCCAAGACTTCAGAGGCAAATGCCGTGACCGTGGATGACAATGAAGATGTCTGGTCCATTCCGTCTGATGACGAGAACGCAGGCAGAGCTAGCAACAGCGGCCCGGAAGGAGCAGCGCCTGCGTGAGCAGGCATGGAAGAAGGAAGTCGCCAAAGCCGCCAAGTGCATTCAGAGTTTGAACAGCTCCTGCTCGTCACTCGCCTTCTTGCTGAACAAGTCTGAGAAGAGCCCGGGCTGCCTCAACGCCGACTTGGTGACAGGTTTGAAGGAAGCCAACGTGAAGTTGACGGACTTGAAAGGACGCACCTTGGCTGTAAAGAGATTCTGTCTCTTCTCAAATTCATCTTTCAAGCGGTGTGACCGCTATATAATTATACCTTGCAAAATTAAAATAGTTATGCGCTTCCTCCTTGACGCTTTGCTATATGAAATAAAGCGGTGTGGCCGCTGCATGTATAGTTAATTAATTTCTTTATCATATGTGCCCCATATACTTCCCGTGCCGGTGCCACGATCCTCATCAGCGCCACTGACGAGATGCGCAATTCTCAAGACCCAGTTCCCTATACCGAGGTTCATTTTTTACGGTTCAATGATTCGTTTCATCCAACAAAAAATTGGTTCATTACATGGTGTCCCTCTCCAGTATTCCTGGCAAGTCTCCGAAGTGACAGATGCTGTGACGGCTGCAAAGAATGTCATGAAAGATGCCCGAACTGCCTTTAGTCAGGTAGCCCAGAAGAAAAAAGCAGACCGTCCCCCAAAGGCACCTGCCAGCAAGGCGAAAGCCAAGGCGAAGGCAGCCTGACAGAGTACTTGGTGCAACCAAGACATGGACAAAGGTATACCGTGGACGCGCCCGGCAGCCCGGCAATCTTGAAGGCCAATTAAAGATTGCCCAGGCTTAGGAATCTTGTCGGCTGCAGATATACATCTGTTTCAGCGCAATTCAAGCTCTGTTGCGTGATAGACGCAACGGGGAGAAGCCCAGGAGAAAACAAGTAGATGGACTTCGCTTGCCCGGGTAATGTGCTGCTATGACCGCCTGAGCGGTGTATCCGCTGCCAGGTTTAAGCTGTGTGACGGCTTTCTGTGGTTTCTGAAACTACCACTATCAGTGGTCTGGTCTTTACACACTGTAGAGCTGTTCGCTGGAAGCGGTCTGACCGCTTGTTATTCACAGGGGTCGACCTATTGAGCGGTATGCCCGCTGGAATCTGGAAGCGGTGTTTTGCGCTCACAAGACACAAGATCACATGCATTAGAGGCGTAGCTCTTTTGCCCAATAATTTCCTCAGGTCAGAGTCACCAGCAAAGAAGTATATGTAAAAGTTTACATTTATTCTTCATACATGTTTACATATACACACACACTGTCTCTCTCTCTCTCTCTGATTCTCTCTCTCTAGCTTTTTTTGGTTGCAAAAAATTGATCGAACCAAGGCTATAGAAAGCACACAATCAAAAAACATTTTTTTTCCATCATGCAACTTTTTATGCAATGCCGAAGAAACGTCCCCTTGACGATGAAGACCGACAGAAGCTAGCTCGAGGTCTCCAAGTAGACGGTGCATCTGAAAGAGCAGTACATTCACTGTGGAATATTTTTTGCGATGACAAGCGTGTTGGCCGAGGAACTTTTACAGACGTGGTCCAAGAAGAGTTCAAGCCTTGGCAAGATGTCACGACCCAAGTGCCCTTTGAATGCCACGATGGTTCTCAGCAAGAAATTTCCCTGGTGATGCTACGCCCGTATCTGGAAAATGTGTTTTTGGAATCTGACGCCTTAAGAAATGCTTTACAGAAAGCAGCCAGTGGGACAGGTTATCTCACTCCTCTGTTTTTTGCAGACGAGGCGACTGCTGGGAACGTTCTCAGCGCAGACAAATCCAGAAAAACTTGTCTATTTTACATCTCTTGGGTTGAGGCATGGCATTTGCTGAAGCATGAGGCCATGTGGTTTCCAGCAGCATGTGTGCAGACGCACTGTCTTCAGAATCTGCGAGGAGGAGTATCAGCCATCGTCCTTGCCATGTTAAAGCATTGTGTCACTGACGAGTTCTTTGAAGGTATCGCCCTGAGCGAAAACTTTACCTTTCGTCAACGGAAAAAAGCATACATTGTGGGAGATCTCGATGCATTGCGCCAGGTCTATTCCCTCAAAGGCAGCAGTGGGCTGCGTTGCTGCATTAGTTGCAAAAATGTCTTAAAGCTGAACTCTGGCTGTGTAAACCACGACCGGTACTTTGTAGAAATAAGTTCCGCCAGTGGCTTTGATCCCAACAGCGACACAGAGATTTGGAACACATGTGATCGATTTTCTTCTTGCCGAACAAAGACAGAACTTCACCAGCTGGAAAAAGTTTCAGGAATTACTTATGAACCAGCCTCGTTGATGTTTGACCCGGTAGAACGTCAGAAACTGCCTGTATCAAATATCATCAACGACATTATGCACGTATACCTGTGCAACGGGATAGCAAGCTGGGAGGTGGCACTGGTGATGGAAAATATTGCAGAACACACACCTTTAAGTAGGGAACTCTTGAAGGAAACTGTTGTGGCTGCAGGTTGGCTTGGGAGTCGCAGTTCCGTCAAGAGTCGGGCCAGTTACTTGCCGAATCTTTTCCATGAGCGACTGTTTGGAGACGGATTGTTTAAAGGCCAGGCGCACCAGACTGCAAGCATAGTACCGCTCTTGCAGTACTGTGTGCAAACAGTGATCCAGGACAGTGGCCGTTTGCCACCCGAAATCATTCTGTCCTTCAAGTACCTTAGCATGTGCTTGGAATTCCTGCGCAAGATTAGCTACTCCCTGGACAAGCTCACGCTCAATGAGAAGAAGCACCTCGACAATCTACAAAGATTACACATGCAGGCATTCACAAAGGCTTACGCCATGCAAGTGAAACCGAAACATCATGTCAGGTTTCATATTCCAGAACAATTTCTGAAGATAGGCTTCGCCTTGAGCTGTGAAGTCTTGGAAAGCAGGCACAGGCAATACAAGTCAGGAGTTGGCGAACATCAAAGGAGCACCATTTCAGATTACGCACTGTTCAGTAGAAGTGTCCTTGTGCGACTTCTACACCACAACTTCACTCTATTGCAAAAGTCTGGCTTATATACCATTTTGGGAACTCATGCCTCCTATCCAGGAAGCCAGTGTTGAAGAGAAACTTACCGTGGCCGCCTTGAATTTGCAAACCAGTGAGAGAGCCTTAGCAGTGCTTGGCAATCCATCTGTACTTTGCTCGCCAGTTTTTGGTTGTTGATCCTGACCATGTCATTCCCAAAGCGGTGTGTCCGCTCTTTTTAATCTACTCAATTCAAATTTAGAATCAGCGGTGTGGCCGCTTCCCTGTCACACTATATCACAATAATGCAGCCGCAATCTTCTCAGGCTGCTACTTGATCAACGGTGTCTTTCAGAAGGACGATATCATCATGTGGCAGCGCACAGCGGGTATTGTGCAAGCTTCGCTTCAAGAACCTGGACGTGGTTTATTTGTGCGCTGCATCAATCTTGACCTGGCACTTGGGCAAACACTCTTAGCGACCTAAGTTTTTAAATTGCCTTTCGGGTCCAATCTAAAACTGTTTTAGACCTTGCGCTCTCAGGTACAAGAACACAGCTGGGGAACTCTTTGGAAGCTGTCCGAAGATGTTGTGACCCTGCAAGTTGCTACCCAAGACGTGCCAACTGTACCATCGTGGTATCGATATGCCACAGACCAAAGGCATATCATATGCCTGCGTTGATGCAAAAAAGACAAATGGGTAGCAGAGCGCGAAGCGGTGTGCCCGCTAGAATTCTCACTGTCACCACATAGCGGTGTGTCCGCTCATTCCAAGCCATGTTCGCTATAGCAAAACCCACAGGTTTGCAAGATTTCCGGCTACAAGGAAACTCCATATCCCTCCCCGCATCGGCCATGGAAGCAATGCTACTCCTTGCCGGGCTCATGGCCGACCATTTTGCCAACTCGGACAAGACTAGTTTGGAACAGCTAGAGGCTGCTACCAGAAATTCTTTTTGCACAAAGAGCTGAAGACATTGGAGGCCCTGCTCCCGGTGTTTCAAAAGATGGCCCCGGAGCTGATTCAAGAAGTCAGCCAAGTTTTGGACAAAGTCTTTGAAGCACTGGCAATGGATGGATGAAACCGAAGCACCATATACGATCGGCAAAAAAAACAAGAAGCGCGTCCATTCATCAGGAGATGGCTCATGAGCACCAGCTGAAGCAAAAAGAGGAAGAGAAAAGCGGTATGGCCGCTCATGAGCGGTTTGGCCGCTTTTCAAAATAACAAGGTGGTTTTTCACGATTCTGCATCCAAACTTGCAAAATCATACTTTTGCCTGCGCAAATCCGAAAAATGCAAAAAACTAATGTTTTCAAACCAATTCTACTTATTTCTACTTATTTCTACTTGCATCTACTTATAAGTTACTTGTAATTACTTACAATCTACTTATCCTATCATTATTTCTAATGTAATCAGTGTGGGTGCCCCGCGGGGCCGCTAAGTGATTTCTGCCGCTTGCCCCGCTTGCCCCGCTTGCTCCGCTTCTGGGGAAAATAAGTGCATCTTCCTCCTTGCCCCGCTTGCCCCGCTTGCCCCGCTTGCCCTACTTGCAAACCGAGGGAAGATCGGTGGTTCTTCCCGCTTGCCCCGCTTGCCCCGCTTGCCCCGCTTGCCCCGCTTGCTTTGCTTTGGTTTCACCACACAGCAGTATGAAAAAGGAATAGAGGTGGTAACGTGAATGGAATGTTTGGGCGAGTGGGGCGAGTGGGGCGAGGGGGGCGAGGGGGGCGAGTGGGGCGAGTGGGGCGAGCGACGGGGAAAGTGGCGAAGGGTGTCAAGCGCAGTTGAGCTGGGTGGGGAAGACACTTATGTGAAGAAGGTGGAATGTTTTTCCAGTATCATAACAATGTTCGAACTGACCACAATGTATGCACATTGTTTCCCAAAAATCCATCCATGCCTTGTTGGCGTGTGGGCGAGTTTACATGCCTGGAATATTTATGCTTTTTTTTTTTGCAAGTTTAGGTGTAGAAGCGAGTCGCCTGGCGGGCCGACGTGAAAATGGAGGGGCCGGGGGGGCATCTTCGGTCATTCTTAGTATGATCTACACCCATAAAATCATCCGTATCCATATATGATCCCCATCACCATATGATCCACAATCATCACAATCATTCATGCTATCCATTTTATGATCATATCACCATCCATATCATCCACTTTATGACCCATATATCATCGTTCACCATCCATATCCATATGGAAGGTTCCATGACTTACCTATCATGGGGGTATTCACAAGAAGCACTTCCGTTTCTCCATCTGCTCACTTTTTAATAGGTTAGTGAAAGGCAATACGTACAATGAACCAAAGGGTTTTTGACACTGCTGGAATTTAAAGGTGATGATGCAGAATGAAATTCAAGGGAAATTCTGCTGATTTCGTGGGGACGTCTGCTGGTTTCGTATCCATTTCAAGGGGAAACTGCTGGGGTTATGTTGAAAATTGTCAAAACTTGATGGTTGATAGTTGGGAAAATCATCTATAAATTATGGTTTTACTGTCAAAATTACATGGGGTGCTGGAAAATCTCTATTTGGGCTAGATGTGGCACCCTCAATCAGACAGGAATGCAGAACTGTTCCGTTTTTCATGTTCCGTTTTTCATATCCGATTACACTAGTGTGATTTTCCATTCCTAGTTCGGATCGAAGGTGCGCCCCCCAAAGTATCCCGGCAAGAGGCTCCAAACAGCGTTGCAAGGATACCAGATTGGACTCCGCAAGTTCCCTTTGTGAAAGATCTCTGTAGAAGACGTGTGCAAGATCTCCTTGACAGGTTTCTTTCTAGACGCTGCTGTGCAAGATCCTTTTGTACAAGGTCTGTATGAGACCAAACAAAGATCGACTATGTTTAAACATGTTCTAGAAAAATTGCGTTGAACATTGCATGACACCAATGTGACATTAAGCATCAAGCATCACCGGAAGCAACCTCCAGCCATTCCGGGAATGCGCACCGACGCGCAGTGCACGTGCCCCGCGGGACCACAGACCCGATGGTCACAGCGATGAGTGGACTATTGTGCCATCTCTATTTGATTGCGTACCAACATCACGCATGCTGGCATCAGCATCTGCTGAATCCCAGTGGCAAGGTAGAAGCCATTGTCCTGGTGCCACTTAGCATCGGCACCTGCAGACGCAGGAGTCAGCGACATGGTCGGCGTGGACAGGACTCCCGTGAGTCTTCTTTTCCATGAAGCAGAAGAATTACCGCAATCGGAAAAGATGGTAGAAAACAGAAATGGTAGAAAACAGAAAAAAACAGGTGCAAGTTTCAATTCGTTCTTGGACTTGATCAGGAACAAATAAAACATGTGTCTTGCTTCAACATCTCGAACGCCTATGTTCAGCGAACAGTGGCTTCACATGCGCCGCAAAAACTATTTTGGAGCCGCGGTGTTGGCTGTCCGCTTTGCCTCAAAAAGAGTAGATTGGGCCTTTGTCAATCTCATGCCACCAGCGCACACGATTGAACACCAGAAGGCCAAGCAGACTGTTTTGAATGTGGCTTTGGAGACGATGATGAACCACTATGTAAGATCTTCACACCACAATGTCTTGTCATGAAAATGGGTGGGTTGATTGAAATTGACGCACAATATGTTGCAGCCACCATGCAGTCTTGATTGAAAGCATTCACCTCGTAGGTCAGGAACACGCTCGCGCTGGAAAGAAGCCAGAGCTTCATTTCGAGGAATCGCACCATTATTGACGCGTATCTTTGGAAACAAGACTTATATATACAACAAGTGCTTTGGAGCACATTGTCACGCTTTTTTTGGACTGACAGTTTAGACATGGGACCTTGCAAGACCTCGTATTTCTGGAATCCTACTTGAAATCATTGGCACTCAGTTGCAGCTTGGCAATCATGTCTTGAGTTTCCGAATTAGTCAAAAGGTCTTTCCAGGCACATTTCTGGTAGTACAGGACAGCATGGCCACCTGGCGGGCCTCGTGGCTCGCTCTTTAGCGTGGCCTCCTTGCTCTTGGCGCTTTTCTTGTCCTTAAGTTTGGGCGCCTGTTCTTCCACTTCCTTCTTGTCAACCCCTGGCAAGATGCCAGCCTTCAAGAGGTCTTTGACTGCTGCCAAGACGTACTTTGCTGGTTTTTCCTCTTTCTCCTTCTGAAAGTGGTACTTCAGAACAGAGCGAATGTGCGGAGTTGAGGTTGGACCAGCACATCGAAGATTGGACAGAATGACTCGCTGCAATTTCATCTTGGCATCCAAATCTGCAAGTCCTGGGGTCTTGACATCTGGCACGGCTTTGGGGCCTACCAAGGCTTGGACTTGCTTGGAGCGATAGAAGGCAAACCACAAGCTCATTTGGCGACGCCAGACATGCAAGGCATGTCCCAAATCGAAGATGGTCATCTCAACGGCAGGCTCATCTATGATCCTATCAAGGGCCAACGCGCAGCGGGCCTCAGCATACTGCCTGCAACGCATGGCTGCATTTGCGTACCGAGTCAGCATAGCGTAGCTTCTTTTGGATTGGTTCTTCTACATTCTCGTGATTCTAGTGCAAGAAGTCGGAGATTCCCTGCAAAGCCTTCCTCAGCATGGGCAAGGCGAACTTGTCAAAATAGTGGTCTTTGTCCTGGTTGCTTGCCACGCGCCCCATCCAACCAAAGAAGTCAATCAGGAACTCTTTGCTGGACTGGCTCTTCTGATCAGGGTCACTTGTCACTGGCCTTGCTTGCCACGTCGCGTGGATTCTCTTGGAAAACATGCTTGCAGTCGGCTGGAGCACATACTCACAAAGCGACACCTGTCCATACACTTGGTGAACGAAGGTGTAATGAGTCAGCGCCGTGGCACCATCTCCAGTGACTGTCTTGTCATCTTCGCAGTTCTGCCAAGTGCACATCTTTTCTTTGTTGCCGTAATGCAGACCTGAGTGTCGGGTCTCCCTCCCGGATGTCATATGTTGTGGCAATCTCATCCGACATGATGCCAGCTCGGGCATATTCTTTGATAGAAGCACGAATACCCTTGATGGTGGCATCCGTGCATGTGGCGCCACCTGCCTTGATGACAGCAGGGACATCTGCATGGGAAAGAAGCTTTTTGCTGGTAAAATCCTTCAAAGAACTCTTGCGCATGCTGGGGCCACCTGCGCAAACAATTTGGACTACGCAGCCACGTCGGTGCTCCTCATCAGGCTGCAATCGAAACCGCGTGCCTGGATCCGGGGCCACTCGAGCAAAGTAATTTTGACTATTATCGTTTATCGGTGGGAGCTCCAATTTGGACAAATCAGGGCCTGTCAGTGTATATCGCGTGCCCCGCTTGCCCCGCTTGCCCCCCCTTGCCCCGCTTGCCCCGCTTGCCCCGCTTACCCCCCAGCAAGTGCGTCGAGTGGGGCGAGTCGGGCGAGTAGGGCGAGTGAGGCGAGTAGGGCGAGTGGGGTCGAGTAGGGCGAGTGGAGCGAGTGGCCCAAATCAATTAATTTTCCTACCAAGGCAAGTGGGGCGAGTGGGGCGAGTGGCGGATTTCAATTAATTTGCTAGCCCAGGGCAAGTAGGGCGAGTGGGGCGAGTGGGGCGAGTGGCGGATTTCAATTAGTGTTCCTCGTGGGCGCCCGCAATGTAATCGCACTTTTAAGTTAACATAAGTTGGTCTTAAGTAAGCTAAGTAAAATTAAGTTTCACCAAGTAGGCTAAGTAGACACCGGCCTTGAGGTAGCACTTAAGACCCATACCCGAAGCCCCCGTTCGTAACCGCAGGTTATGAGCCCAAAGAGGTTCTGAAGCCATGTCTCTGATGCAACGCCGACGAGCAGCTGATGGGGTCGATGGTGGAGGAGATGCAGCAGATGAAAGGACTGCTGACCAAATGATGGCAGACCTGATGGAGGACCTGAACAACTCCTCCACCGCAGTGAGGTCAGTGCGGGTGTTGGAAGGTGGAGCCCAAGAGGTGGTCGTGGCTGGAGCTGGTGGCCCACAGCCAGGTCATAACGGGGGAGCCCAAGGTGTGATGGAGGGTTTGTCACCAGACCAACAGGCCGTGCTTCGACAAGCTGCTGAAGTTCTTCGGACTGGGGTGCAGCTGCAGTGGCAGGCTGCTCCGCCGGCTGCTCTGGTGGATGCAGGAAGGCGACCTGAACATCTTCCAGGGGGCCAACAACAAGCTGAATGAGCTGGAGGCATGGATCCAGGTGAAGGCCAACGAGGCGATCAGAGAGCTCAAGGGGTTGGTGACGGAGGTCTATTGGGTCCTCTTGCACTTCTTGCCGGCGGCTTGGAGCCATTGGTGCTTCGACCTGAAGGTCTACCCCCTGCTCCACAAGGAGATCCTGTGGTTTTGGGTCCCGCTGGACCGCATGGAGGTGCTGATCAACAAGGGCATCCTTCTGCACTGGTGCAACGTGCTGGACATCAACCTGGCTCTGGTCAACTTCTTCGGCATCCTTCTGATCCTCATTGGGGTACAAGCCGTGATGAGGACACCAGATGGTGTTGGGGCCGAACGGAATCCGTTTTGGAGCGATCGGGCTATGGCTGGAGGTGATCAACATGCTGCCAGTGGACCACATGGCGATGGCGCCCAACGAGCTCTAAGTCTATCATCAGGACGGGTGAAAACAGCTGATGGTTTAACCCACAAAGACCTGTTGGATTTAGAGGCTCTTAGGGTTCAGGGTTTTAAAGAAGTTGAAGCCCAAATTCAAAGGGAAATGGAAAAACGTAAAGGGGACAATAGCGGTAGTGGCTCATTCCAAAGTGTTTTGGGGGAAGTAGGTGTAGTTCAGGGTTCAAAAACCCCTGTGGATCCGGCTCTTGGCCATCTGGTGACTCCTCCGGGTCTTCCTGGCCTTCCTGGTCCAGCTGTGCCTGCATCGGTCACGCCTGCGCCTGTGGTGAGCGTTGGCGAGAACCTCAACGAGAACCTGAGGAACTTGGAGCTGCGAAAGCTGTCCCTTGACAGCACTTCGGTGGACTTTGGCGACTGGCTTGCCATTGTGGGTCCGTTGATGTCGGATCTGAGTAGAACGAGCAGTCAATGGTGGGCTCTGGTGTTGGACGCTGCGGCCAAGACCTATGCAGCGTGGGTGACATCAACGCCACTCCAAAGGTTGCGCCTGAAGGTGGTGTCTCCGACTGAATTGGCGAAATGGCCAAGGACTGAGCAGAGGGCGGTGACTATGTTGTTGGCTGCTGTCCCGGACCCGATTCGGCGTGAACTGATCTCGTCCAGGAAGCTGCAAAGCGTAGAGATCCTCTATGCCCTTCTGTGTCGTTTTCAACCAGGTGGAGTTCATGAAAGGACGAGCTTGCTGAAGGACCTCACGGAGAATCGACTGGGTGCCAATGCGAACATCCACGAGCTCTTGCAGACCTTGCGGGTGTGGCGACGGAATTTGGGAAGATCAGCTGAGCTGGGAATTCAACTTCCGGATCCACTCATCTTGGTTGGAGTTCTTGGACGGTGGTCGGACCATCTGGACGCCTTGGAGGACCCCAAACGGTTTACCGAATGTCGTCGCTTCGACAAGACTTGCAGTTGGACTTCATCCCAACGAATGTCAAGGTTGCTGACTTTGCGGAGGCGTTGCAGGCCGAAGCGGAGCAGTTGTCACTGTGATGAGCGCTTCACCGACTTCTACCACGACGGCATCACTTCAGGACATCAAGAAGAAGGAGCAGATCAAGGCTGCTGCCCTACGGTCTGAAGGGTCTCCTACTTCCAACGATGATGGGAAGGGGAAGTCAAAATGTCGTTTCTGGGGGAGCACGGCTGGTTGTCGCCGAGGTGAATCTTGTGCTTTTGAGCACTCTTGGGACGGCATCCAACGAAAGGGTCGATGCTGGAATTGTTCTGGTGAAGGGCACATGAAACCTGAATGTCCTCACCTCAAACAGAAAGAATATGGTCAACGTGACTGCTCTGGGTCTCCCACGAAGATCTCCAAGGTGAAGGATCAGAAGGGTGGCAGTCCCAAGAACACAGGTCATGGAAAAGGTGCATCAAAGGGAACTACGACGTCTTCACCAACGACGCCTTTGCCGAGTTCTTCACATGGATCTACGGCGACTTCATCGTCTCCGCATGGTGCTTCTGAGGAGAAGTCCAAGGTGGTGATTGAGGAGGTCAAGCCTGCTGTCCCTGCTGCTCTGGTGTCAGACCTGAGTGGGCTTGTGAAGTCTCTGCAGAGCCTGAAGGCAGTTCACTTGAGGTACATCGAGTCCAAGGCCAATGGTGGTTTTGCTGGAGGTGACCAAAAACTGGCGTTGCTTGACGGTGGAGCCACTCATGGGCTACGTCGAGGACTGCCTCACGAACTTGAAGGTGCTGAAATGGTGATTGTGGAACTTGCCCATGGGAGTACGTCCCTGTTCAGAAAGGCTGGATGTAGCATTGGCGAAGGAGGAGGTGGAACCAATCATTCCTGTCCGCCAATTGATGAGACTGGCTACCAGCTCAAGTGGAGTTCCTCTGAAGTTTCCATTTGGCATCCCACAAAAGGATCTATCAAATGCTGGCGACGTCTGTGCTCAGTACTCATGCATATGCCCTGGCGGGGCTCAGCCCATAACAAAACACGAAGGCAAAGTCGCAAGCAATTAGTAGAGCACTACGCTTTGTCGTCCGCAATCCAGAGACTTCCTTAGCGGGTAAACTAGTCAATGCGTTGGCTAAACTAAACAGCAAAGCAGCGGAGAGCTTGCAGTGGTCTCAACAATGGCATGCGCTGTGGAAATCGTGGAATGCCTTTATAATATAACATGTCAAAAAGAAAACCGGCCTGCTCTGGATTATTTTTCGGCAATGATGCGCAATGCAGAACTTGGCAAAATGCTCTACCAGTGAAAGTTTTTCTAGCCCGCGCAAGATTCAGAATTTCAAGCGTGCGCAAGATTCAGAACTTCAGGTCGCACGAAAAACAAAAACCAAAACACAAAATACTCGATGCAAATCGGACTCCAAAGTCACTCCTTCAAGTGAACAATGCTGGACATAAATCGGATGTGGTAATGCTAGCTACTCTCAGCAAAAATGACTGATTGAGTTCAGTTGGAACGTCGGGGAATTGTGATTTTTCTTTTAGTAAATATACCATCATCGGATGAAAAGATGAAAAACTCTGTACACACTAAAATTTATATAGAAGTATTCAGAGGAAGTTTAGTTCGAAAACTTCGCGTTTTTTCGGGTAATGTGGTTCCAGGGGTCGAAGAAGTAGGGTCTCTGTTTCCGCGGGATCAGGGGTCGATCTGGGCAAGCTATCGATAGGACTAACGCGAAAGCTCGATTTGCATGTCAAAACGTTAAGAATCTCACCGCGGAGCACTTTTGGACGGTGAGGCCGGAAAGATGTGTGCACCAGACTGTTGCGAGAGCTCGATTTCACATAAAAATTGCCAAACACTGGCATGTTTGGAGCAGTGCGGAAAAGTCTGCACACTGCTGACGCAGCGCGGATGTTGGTCGCTTTGGTGCGGCGCTCCTGCTCTCAGCCACCGTCAAGCTATTTGACAAATTAAATATATTATGACATTCGGGTGCAGTGTAGCAGTTGTCAGCCATGATAGTTATCAAAAACTTGAGTCCTTAAAAACATGTAAACTAAAGTTATCAACTGCTTTCCTATTCCCCACACCCATTTCTACAATTGATTGGCCTTGAGACGTTCAAAATATTACTTGAAGTATCTTGAAGTTATGTTCCAAGTTTCATGAGGTTTGGCTAGATTTTCTATCCTAGAGCGCTTTGCAAATTTTAACAAAGGTGCTACTCCTCCTCCTCCTCCACCTCCTCCTCCTTTTCCTCATCCTCTGTGAGCGTGAATGGATCGGAGCCCTATCGCAAGCTCCAGATGAACGTGCAATACACCACATGAAAGTTAGAACCGCGAACCCGTTTTCACACAAGTGCTTTTCACATAATAGTAACCCCTGCTTATCACTGACATTACCCCATCTACGCACATTAAAGATAACCTGTGGATTTAAAATATACATGATTATGGTTCCAGGTCATAGTTCCCCTCACTTGGCCTGTATTGTGGTGAACAAACCTGAGGGAGGGAACGAAAGCCAGCGAGGGTTGAACGTGCATTCAAACACCAGTGCCAAAGCATCCTCCAACTGTTATCCCAGGAAGGGAAGTAAGATCCGCATGTGCATGTCTTTGATGTTCCCAATACTGATACTACCGCCAGCCTGTTGCAAAAAACATGCGTAGGTCAATGTACCTCGCATGCGGCAAGCAACTCCAGTTGGCCTCTCACCCCCTCGCATCTGCATCCCTACACCCTAAACCTGACTGGATCGCATGTGGTTTAGCCATCTTCAGTGCCAAACAAAGAATGAAGCAAAAATGATCAAGCATCTTCAACGCGAAGCCCGCCGGACCAGATCAGCTGTTGAGGTTCAGGGTGGCTCTTGCCCTCAGGCCCTATCACCCGCAGCTTTTCATCCATGAGACATTCCACCCCCAATCCGCCAAAAATGTTCAAGCATCTTCAATGCGAAGCCCACCGGACCAGATCAGCCGTTAAGGTTCAGCATGGCTCTTCTCAGGCCATATCACCCGCAGCGCTTTATCCACCAGAAGCTTCACGCAAATCGGACAAAAATGTTCCTTCGCTGCGAAGCCCACTGGACCTTGAATTCAGCATGGTTTTTCTGTCAGGCCTTCAACGCGAAGCTCACCGGACCAGATCAGCCGTTGAGGTTCAGCATGGCTCTTCCCCTCAGGCCTTCAGTGCGATGCCCACGCCTTCAACGTGAAGCCCACCGGACCAGATCAGCCGTTGAGGTTCAGCATGGCTCTTCCCCTCAGGCCATATCATCCGCAGCGCTTCATCCATCAGAAGCTTCACGCAAATCGGACAAAAATGTCCAATCATCTTCACTACGAAGCCCACCGGACCATCTCCGCCGCTGACGTTCAGCATGCATCTCATACCAAACCCCTTCTTGCCCAGCCCCACGGTTTGCCCGTCGCGGGGTGGACCAGGGGGAAATCGAAGCCCTACCGTCACTAAATCGCCACCGGTCACATGGCTTGGAAAAAGTCCTTCTATTTTCGGCAGGTTTCCGACTTATTCAAATTGAAAATCGTCCTCCAGACCGGCAATTGCCACAGCTACCCCCCTCAGACCCCCTAATAAATACTCACTACGTTCGCAAAAAACAGCTCAGCGTTGCCTGTCGACTGGCTTTCGTAAAGATGGATTTCACATCATGTAAGAAATTATGATGATAGAAAGGAAAGGTAGAACCACGAACCGAATGTCCCGAAATACAAGAATCAGTATGAATTTGATGCTAACAAATACCAAAAAAACAAACCAACTAATATCAACTATTGACAAGAAATACATCAGAAAACCATCAACAAATAATGAAAGACACTACGTTAATATACACACACACATATATATATATATATAATTTTATTTATATGCAATATGTAATTATGTAAATAATATATACATAAATTGTACATATATATATATATGCTAGTCGGGATTACCAGCGGGCGTGTTAAGAAACAACAAGTTCGCTTTAATTAAGTCATAGCAGGGGTCCCCTTGGAAGCTGTTTTCCAAACCTGTTCCGTTCAAATCACCGAAACCTAGTCCGGTATGCAAAATACCCGGTTGAATTATTGGGTACGATCCTTTTTAGGTCGCACAGTTGGTTACTATGAATACGATGTCAACATCGTTTGTAAATACCATCCTATTTTTTGAAGGCTGCTGTCAGCATCTGTCAGCCAAAAGCAGTGTGTACCAGCCAAGAAGCTAACCTTTGTAGGGTTGGGTTCGAGACAGTTGAAATGGGCTGCATAGTCGCCGCCCGCTTGGTAGGAACACCACCGTGGAACTCCCAAATCAGCATTGATGTTTCCATTTGAGCCTGCGGGCTGCATTGGCTACACGCAAGCAACACGATCCCAAACTCTCCAAACGGGGTGCACCTTCGTTGGCACATGGTGGTCCAAACCCGCACATGACACGTTCCATTTCGCGCATGCATGGATGTAAAGTTGCCTTGCGCCTTGTTTTTTTTTTGGTGTGGCCCGGTAATTCTACTTAATGCAATCTTCAGTAATCTCCATGTACAGAGAGATACTGAGATACACCCCAATTCACTTCATATTCCACGGTGCTTCGTGCCTAAAAACTATTCGTAACCCTGCAGGACGAATAACCACCTGCAGCGTGTCCTAGGATCTGGGGCCCGTAAAACAACGGATTGCTACTGCAGAGTGGTAACGGTGGTCTGTAGGTTCTCCCTTTTCCGGAAACTAGTTTTTTGGACTTGGATGGGCACGATATGGTTCACTTGAGAAGGGGTGACCCGAAAGGTAGTTGCGTCAGACGTTATAACTCTGATTGTCGTTGTGATGTGACTCCAGCTTGGGTGGTTCATGAACCGTGGACGGGCATGAAACTGAACATTCATAGCTGAACGGAGATATCTGGATCCGAAAAGAGGGCACCCCACGAATGCCATGGTTGATCATCACTTAGTTTATTTAAAGAGCCATTTGGAGGTATATTGTCTGACACACGCATCGTGCGGGGCAAAAAAAAACACGGTCAGTGTTAGCACAAACCCCAAAGTCGCTTTTGCGGTACCTATGGATGCTCGAACCTGTCACTTTCATCGCACCGTTTGGTACTTGTAAAATGGATGTCGAAAAATCCGAATGTCAAGTCGAATGATGATGGTGATGAGGATGATGATGATGATTATGATGATGTGATGATGATGATGATGCTGATGATGATGCGAAGGGGCTGCTGCGTGATGTGACGAGAGTGGGGGGGGGCATGGATGTTCAGATATCTGGATCCGAAAAGAGAGCACCCCACGATGTCCATGGTTGCTCATCACTTAGGCCATTTGGAGGTATATTGTCAGACACACGCATCGTGCGGGGAAAAAAACACGGTCAGTGTTAGCACAAACAAAGTCTCTTTTGCGGTACCTATGGATGCTCGAACCTGTCACTTTCATCGCACCGTTGGGTACTTGGAGAAATGGATGTCGAAAAATCCGAATGTCAAGTCGAATGATGCGAGACACTGCGAAGGGGCTGCTGCGTGAAGAGACTCACCAGGCATATGGCGAGAGTTCCCTTTGAGGGGGGGAGGGGGGGGGTGAAGTGGGGCCCTAGCGTCTACTTCAAGATCAGCTAAGGCGTCTTCCACAATGACAGCAGTATTTTACTCTCAGCCTGTTGCCGGTCAGTGCTTGTCCACAGGGTTACTCTATATACCTCTTGAGCCTTGAGGGGCGCATATAAATGTGCTCAATACTCATGCATGTACCTCTGTAGGTATTAGGTCGAAACAAAAACACAGGCACAAATTCAAAAGCAATGAGTAGAGCACTACGCCTTGTCGTACCCAATTGGTATTAAGAGTATCTTCCTGTATTCTCTACAAAATGGCAAATAGCAAAAATAAACCGGAGTTACGCAGTGGCTTCGAATTCAAAAACACGTGAAAGCAGCGAATGTCCTAAAGACATGCCGAAAAAGAAACAGCGGATTCGCTAATTTTTCCAGTAGTGACCAATGGTGCTTCGCGCACGGTCTCTCCAGGCAAAATGTCTCGCTCTACTGGTGAAAGTTCGAATTGAAATGTTCGGAT